CACTGCAAAAGCTGACCACGCACTTACCAAATTTCATATGGCAAACCAACTTTAGATTTTTTGTCGCAATCACAAAAATATAGGTTTTCCTAAAGTAAAGTTTCAGCTATTAAAAAAATGATAATATTTACAGTAAAACACTATATTGCCAAAAGTATTGGGCCGCCTGCCTTTACACACACAAACTTTAATGGCCCCCCAGTCTTAGTCCGTAGGGTTCAATACTGAGTTGGCCCCGCCCTTTGCAGCTATAACAGCTTCAACTCTTCTGGGAAGGCCGTCCACAAGGTTTAGGAGGGTGTCTATGGGAAGGTTTTGACCATTCTTCCAGAAGAGCATGTGTGAGGTCAGGCACTGATGTCGGGGGAGGAGGCCTGGCTCGCAGTCTCCACTCTAATTCATCCCAAAGGTGTTACCGGGTTGAGGTCAGGACTCTGTGCAGCCAGTTAAGTTCCTCCACCTCAAACTCGCTCCTCCATGTATTTATGGACCTTGCTTTGTGCACTGGTGCGCAGTCATGTTGGAACAGGAAGGGGCCATCCCCGAACGCTTCCCACAAAGTTGGGAGCATGAAACTGTCCAAAATGTCTTGGTATGCTGACGCCTTAAGAGTTCACTGGAACTAAGGGGACAAGGCCAACCCCTGAAAAACAACCCCCACCATAATCCCCCTCCACCAAAATTTATACACACTTGGCACAATGCAGTCAGGAAAGTACCGTTCTCCTAGCAACCGCCAAACACTGAAACGCCATCGAACTGCCAGACAGAGAAGCGCGATTGGTCACTCCAGAGAACACGTCTCCTCTGCTCTAGAGTCCAGTGGCGGCGTGCTTTACACCACGGCATCCGACGCTTTGCATTGCACTTGGTGATGTAAGGCTTGGATGCAACTGCTCGGCCATGGAAACCCATTCCATGAAGCTCTCTATGCACGGTCGTTGTGCTAATCTGAAGGCCACACGGGGGTCAGCAACCAGTATATTACGATCTACAAGTAGATCATGGCCAGTTGACTGGTAGATCACGGTCTGGGCAATGCAGAGGGACTGCTTGTAAAGTTGGATATAGTAGGGAGCAAGAGCCGCATAAGCCGATGCCTCCTCTGCAGTGCTGGCTCCTGTCCGATGTGGAGTGTTAACAACTGCACTCCACCTCTTATCCCGGCTAGCGGTCTCCAGAGTGGTGCCAGCAGTAGGAAAGAAGAGATATTCAGGTCAGTGTGAGGCGATACACTGGTTATAATAACATAGGGCTGCTTTCACACTGATGTACTGTGGTCTACCCATACCGCAGGTGCAGTGCAGTGTACCTGCAAGCTTTGCTGTGGGTTTGGTGCACTTTCTGAACGCACACCAAAACTCCAGAATACAGGAAAGTGACTACACCTGCCAGATATGATAGAAGTCTATGGCAAAGCGCGAGCTAACTCAGGAAGTTCACGGATGCACTGCTGCTCCTCTGAGAAGTGATGTGTTTGACAAGTGGTGAAGAGGAGATATGTTGCTTTCCTCACCACCTGATTTAAACCGATGATTGCCATGCAATGCATACGATTTCGACACAGTAGTATGGCAATTAGAGGTTTAAATCAGGTGTGAGGAGGCGACACTGTGCCCGGTGATCTTTGACTTCTCCCATGTTGTTCAGGTAGATCCCTTGATGCCGAGTGCACCCAAATATGCGACCTCTCGGCGTCTGGGCCTTAATACCGAGCGGCCGCATATTTGCATGCGATTAGAAAATACATATATGTTCTGAGAGCGTGTACCCTGCACGCTCCCCAGCACATATGTCAGTGACTCACGGAAAAGGTCACGATCTTCCCTTTCGATCGGGACCTTTTCCGATCATGTGACCGTGGTGATGGCGAATCACATGACCCTAAAACCCCGCCCATCTCCTAAACTCTTTAAGGGCCGGAGGCACCGGCGCTAAGAGGCTAAGGTTGCCTAGCCCTGGTATAAGGTAATATAGACCTTGCTGCATTTAATACAGTGCCAGGGAGCAGAAAAAGAACGGAGAACCTACAAGAGATAACAACTGGAGAAAACAGTGGTGGTGGTGGTGTAGGGGGGGGGTGGAATTGAAGGTAGGTAGCCGTGACGTGCTGGGAGGTGCCCCTTGTACAGCATTTTTCTTTTTATAGTGTAAGAGGTCAAAAGGTAGGTGGGAGGAAATGTATGACCCAAAGGGGTAGATTTCTTAAAGAAATAGATTGAGCGTCACATGCGCAGCTTTCGTGCAAGAGTGACAGTTGCACTATGCTCTGTGCCCCGTGGGCCTCCTTACCATGTCCCACTCTGCACAGATGTAAGGTCCAGGCCTCAGGATGACGAGCAGGCCAAGTTCCACAGTCAGGTTCAAAAAACGCTCCAGATCACGTTCTCCCTCAAAATTAAACATCCCGGGCTGAGGTTCATGGAAATTCCAGGGCACATATCTAGAAAGAGATGACCATACACTTATAAATCAGTCCACCAACACTGCAATTCCAGTTATAATCAGATATTGGAGTAGTAAATCATCTACCAGAATTTTATTAATCATGCAGATTTTTTTTTAAAGGTTTACACAATTGTTATGAATAAAAATATAAAAAAAAAAAAAGTAAGCACAAAGGAACAGCGTCAAACAATCATCATTCCTCCTACCACCTCCAGAAGAGAAGAACAGAGAAGTACAGGCAAATATGGAGGCACTGCCGTTGGTAGAGAACAACGCCATAAAATGTAAATAGGAAAGGCATTGGCTTCGTCAGTCAGATGGCACAAGAACATAAGGCAATATTTGTTCTTTAATGAGAGACTGACTGAATAATTGTCTAAGGTATAACACTTGCAAATAACTTCCTATTGCCCTGAGGAAGTCTACATGAACAAAATGCGTAGGGATAGGGCTTTGGCACTGACGTCATCATGCATGCATGCCATATTGGGCAGCATGCTGATTTGATTACAGGCTGTTGCATGGTCTTCTCTTGTAAGTACATTTCTTTTAATAAATGCAGGTTTGTTTTACTGTAATAAACTATAGATCTTCTTTCTTTTGTGGCATATTGGGGCTTATATTGGGCACAAGCTTAATCTGAGCCTTCAGCAGCTACCATCAAAGGCTACTGCGTACTTGGAGGCAGAGGAGTCAACGAGCTTGCTGCCCTTGCTGTGGTGTGACTGAATGGTCGCTGGGCTTATACCCAAGCTCTGTTGTCCTCTTTATGTTTGGGATCTAATGGTCTGGTAAGAGATTAGAGCTCTGTGTTGGTGAAGGAGCACGAGGCCCACAACAAGGATTGCTGGCACTTGTGGGTCACACGTCACAGAACATTAAATGATTGAAGTGGGATTTTGGCACTTTGATATGTGGAGTCAAAGTTGGTACTGCCAACCATAATTTCAGGGATTTTTGTGGACAGCCTCTATATTGAAATAATTTTTCTCTGACCAAAGTAACGTGAACCTGATTTTTCCAGCCTGTGAAGGATGGTGGATGTGAGGCTAACTAATGTTGTGCAGTGATCTTCCTTGCTATAAAAAGTAGCCTGATGGCTGAAACCAAAATGTTAGGTGGGAATAGTTCTTCATCGAAACAATCCCAAAATAAATAAAGAATTTAATGTCTAGAGCAGCCTTCTCCAACCTTCTCCGGTTAACCCCAGGGATAATCTTGAAATAATTTTCAGATCTCAGAAAAACACTTGCAAAACAGCAATTCCTTGGTCAGTGAGAAAAAAAAAAAAAAAATGTTCCTTACATTGGTGGCAAGTATGAAGAATGTACCCCTTTGTAGTGGTGGTTAGAATGTCATCCAGATTTCCCAGAAGGTGACAAATCTTATTTGCATCTAGATGTCACCTCCTTCCAGAGGGTGCTTTGTCGCTTTCAGATGCTAATTGGTGACCATATGTCTCTGCCTTGATTCTGAACACATTTTATATTATAACATGAAATTAGCTAAATCTACAATGTCATATTTCTACAGGTCACATCTCAGCTACTCAAATCTTACATGTACGGGCAGCACAGTGGCTAAATGGTTAGCACTTCCGCCTGGCAGCACTAGGGTCGTTGGTTCGAACACAGCCATGGCACCACCTGTCTGGAGTTTGCATGTTCTCCCTGTGCCTGCGTAGGTTTCCTCTGGGTAGTCCGGTTTCCTCCCACACTCCAAAGACATGCTGGTAGGTTAATTGGATCCTGTCTAAATTGGCCCTAATATGTGTATGTATGAATGTGAGTTAGGGACCTTAGATTGTACACCCCTTGAGGGTTAGGGACTGATGTGAATGTACAATATATATGTGTAAAGCGCTGCGTAAATTGACGGCGCTATATAAGTTCCTGAAATAAATAATGTACGTTACAGGTAGGTCAATGGGCTCCTGTCTAAATTGTCCCTAGTATATGTATGTATGGATGGGAGTTAGGGACCTTAGATTGTACACCCCTTGAGGGCTAAGAGCTGATGTGAATGTGCAATAAAAAATTTTTTCTATAAAACATATATATCTGCGTACATGGACGGCACTATATAAGTACATATAATAAACATATGAAATAAGTAAACATATGAAATGACCCGTTCAAAAGTCTTCATACCCTTAGTTCTAAATACGATGCATCACCCCTTTTAGCATCAGTGACAGTGTGTAGTCTTTTGTAAGAGTTGTCTAGAAGGCTCTGAATTCTTGCAAGTGGTATAGTTGCACATTCTTAGGAAAATGTCTCCAGGTCCTGCAAAGTCTTTGGTCGTCTTGCATAAACTGCATGTTTGAGATCTCGCCAGAGTAGCTCAATGATGTTATGGTCAGGAATCCTTACACCCTTTTCTACTGTAACAACTGAAGGGTTAACTTGGCCTTGTGATTATGGTCATTGCCGTGCTGGAAAGTCCAAGAGTGTCCCATGCGCAGCTTTCGTGCAGAAGAATGGAGATTGTCGGACAATATTTTCTGATAGCATGCTGCATTTATCTTGCCATTCGTGTTCACAAGATTCCCCGTGACTTTAGAGCCCACATCTCCCCAAAACATCAGTGAGCCACCACCATGCTTTACAGTGGGGATGATATTCTTGTCGCTATAGACCTTGTTGACCCCCTCTCCAAATATAGCACTTATAGTTGTGACTATAATGTTCTATTTTGGTCTTGTCACTCCAGATTACAGTGTGCCTGAAGCGGTGAGGCGTGTCAAGGTGTTGTCGGGCATATTTTAACCGGGTTTTTTTGTGGCCTTGGAGCATTAAAGGCTTCTTTCTGGCAACTTGACCATCTTTTTCCAGAGCAGCATATATTTCTCCTGAGTAAAATAGAGAAGTGCAGCGCTTAAAACATTAATCAGCAGTGTATAGAATATCCCGCATTAAATAAGAGCAATAAGTAATAAATATATATATATATATATATATATATATAAAAATAGTCCTATATAAATGACAGTCTGTGTGGATATAAGGTGCAAGAAGAAAATTAAAATCCAGTGGTGGTGCTCTCAGAGGTATGGTCGAATTACGCACTCACCAGATGCGTAATTAATTAATATACGCATTAAGTATCACATCCAGGGTCTCCTTATCAGGTAGAGGTCTGGTCAGGGGCGTAGGTAATTCCCCGTCAGGGTGATGGTCTTATGTGCTCAATGGAGTTAAAATGGATCCAGGTAGCCAGAGGTCCCTTTAAGGGATGAGTAAGTGAGGATGCCTGCTTACAGGGAACTCCCTTCTCAGGATACAAAGGATGGATGGATGGCTGGCTGGATCACAAAAGCGGGCACTGCAAATGAAATGCTCCTCAAGGGAGACCAGGAAGAGTGCCCATAGTGTAGTATTCAAAATTACTTTAATTATAAAAACGAGTGTTTGCAAACAGATAAGAGCATTAAAAGCAGTAAAACAGCGTCAGGTCTGTAGAGATCAACTAACTCTCCAGATTCAAAGATGGAGTGCGTAATTCTACCATACCTCTTGGAGCACCACCACTGGATTTTAAATTTTCTTCTTACACCTTAGATCCACACAGACTGTCATATATATATATATATATATATATATATCTCTATCTCTATCTATCTTATTTAATGTGGGATATTCTATACACTGCCGATTTTTACGATAAGGTTTTATTAGGTTACCTTGAGTGTTCAGCTGCTGTTTGGATAGCGCTCACTTTTATATTGCATTTCTTCTGAGGTTACCTGTGGGTTTTTCTTTGTATCCCAAACAATTCTTCTGGCAGTTGTGGCTGCAAACTTTCTAACCTTGGCTTGGTATCAAGAGATCACAGAATTTTCTACTTCTTAATAAGTGACTGAAGAATACTGACTGGTATATTCAAGTCTTTGGATATCTTAATATTCTTTTCCATCTTTATAAAAAGTTCCATTGTCTTTTGACAGTTCTTTTCTGCTCCCCATGACTCAGTATCTAGCCTCCTCAGTGCATCCACATGAGAGCCAACAGACCCATTGACTAATTATAAATAGACACCAATTGCAATTTAAAAAGCCACAGATGTGGGAAGTTAACCTGTGTGTACCCAGATACAAATCATTAGTAAAACCTCATCTGGAATATGCAGTTCAGTTCTGGGCACCAATTCACAAAAAGAACATTGGGGAACTGGAGAAAGTACAGAGAAGGGCAACCAAACTAATACGAGGCATGCAGGAGATCAGCTATGAGGAAAGATTAGAGGAACTGAATTTATTCTCTCGTGAGAAGAGGAGATTAAGGGGGGATATGATCACCATGTATAATACATAAGGGGGGATATGATCAACATGTATAATACATAAGGGGGGATAGGATATGTATAATACATAAGGGGGGGATAGGATCTCCATGTATAATACATAAGGGGGGGATAGGATCTCCATGTATAATACATAAGGGGGGGATATGATCTCCATGTATAATACATAAGGGGGGGATATGATCTCCATGTATAATACATAAGGGGGGGATATGATCTCCATGTATAATACATAAGGGGGGGATATGATCTCCATGTATAATACATAAGGGGGGATATGATCTCCATGTATAATACATAAGGGGGGGATATGATCTCCATGTATAATACATAAGGGGGGGATATGATCTCCATGTATAATACACATAAGGGGGGGATATGATCTCCATGTATAATACATAAGGGGGGGATATGATCTCCATGTATAATACATAAGGGGGGGATATGATCTCCATGTATAATACATAAGGGGGGGATATGATCTCCATGTATAATACATAGGGGGGGATATGATCTCCATGTATAATACATAAGGGGGGGATATGATCTCCATGTATAATACATAAGGGGGGGATATGATCTCCATGTATAATACATAAGGGGGGGGATATGATCTCCATGTATAATACATAAGGGGGGGATATGATCTCCATGTATAAATACATAAGGGGGGGATATGATCTCCATGTATAATACATAAGGGGGGGATATGATCTCCATAATATAAGGGGGGGATATGATCTCCATGTATAATAAGGGGGGATATGATCTCCATGTATAATACATAAGGGGGGATATGATCTCCATGTATAATACATAAGGGGGATATGATCACCATGTATAATACATAAGGGGGGGATATGATCTCCATGTATAATACATAAGGGGGGTTATGATCTCCATGTATAATACATAAGGGGGGATATGATCTCCATGTATAATACATAAGGGGGGATATGATCACCATGTATAATACATAAGGGGGGATATGATCACCATGTATAATACATAAGGGGGGATATGATCACCATGTATAATACATAAGGGGGGGATATGATCACCATGTATAATACATAAAGGGGGATATGATCTCCATGTATAATACATAAGGGGGATATGATCTCCATGTATAATACATAAGGGGGGGATATGATCAACATGTATAATACATAAGGGGGGGATATGATCTCCATGTATAATACATAAGGGGGGATATGAGCACCATGTATAATACATAAGGGGGGGGATATGATCAACATGTATAATACATAAGGGGGGGGATATGATCTCCATGTATAATACATAAGGGGGGATATGATCTCCATGTATAATACATAAGGGGGGATATGATCACCATGTATAATACATAAGGGGGGATATGATCTCCATGTATAATACATAAGGGGGATATGATCTCCATGTATAATACATAAGGGGGGATATGATCTCCATGTAAAATACATAAGGGGGATATGATCTCCATGTAAAATACATAAGGGGGATATGATCTCCATGTATAATACATAAGGGGGATATGATCTCCATGTATAATACATAAGGGGGATATGATCTCCATGTATAATACATAAGGGGGGGATATGATCAACATGTATAATACATAAGGGGGGGGGGATATGATCTCCATGTATAATACATAAGGGGGATATGATCTCCATGTAAAATACATAAGGGGGGATATGATCTCCATGTAAAATACATAAGGGGGGGATATGATCTCCATGTATAATACATAAGGGGGGGATATGATCTCCCTGTATAATACATAAGGGGGGATATGATCTCCCTGTATAATACATAAGGGGGGATATGATCTCCCTGTATAATACATAAGGGGGGATATGATCTCCATGTATAATACATAAGGGGGGGATATGATCACCATGTATAATACATAAGGGGGGATATGATCACCATGTATAATACATAAGGGGGGATATGATCACCATGTATAATACATAAGGGGGGATATGATCTCACCATGTATAATACATAAGGGGGGATATGATCTCCATGTATAATACATAAGGGGGGATATGATCTCCCTGTATAATACATAAGGGGGGATATGATCTCCCTGTATAATACATAAGGGGGGATATGATCTCCATGTATAATACATAAGGGGGGGGATATGATCACCATGTATAATACATAAGGGGGGATATGATCACCATGTATAATACATAAGGGGGGATATGATCACCATGTATAATACATAAGGGGGGATATGATCTCCATGTATAATACATAAGGGGGGATATGATCTCCATGTATAAATATATCAGTGGTTCATATAGTGAACTCGGTGTAGAGTTATTCCCCCTGAGGTCATCACAGAGGACAAGGGGGCACTCTTTACGTCTGGAGGAAAAGAAATGTAATCTCCAAACATGGAAAGGTTTCTTCATAGTAAGAGCTCTGAGAATGTGGAATAGACTCCCTCAAGAGTTGGTTCTGGCCAGCTCAGAGGATTGCTGTAGGAAAGTCCTGGATTGTTTCTTAGATACACAGAATATAACATTTATAGGTAAAGTTGATCCAAGCAATATCCGATAGCCTCTCGGGGGATCAGGAAGGAATTTTTTTTCCCTGCAGGAGCATATTGGATCATGCTTTGCTGGTGTTTTTTTTTTGCTTTCCTCTGGATCAACTGCGGGTGTAGGATTATAACTTTTTTTTTTTTGTAAATGGTTGAACTGGATGGACTTTTGCCTTTTTTCAGCCAGACTAGCTATGTGTATCACCTTATGTGTCTGTACCAAAGGCCAAACATTCCAGGGGATGGAAATATTTGATCAGGGCCATTTGGGTGATTTCTGTTATCACTGAATCCTCCTGTATTAATTTGTATTGTAATTGTACTGTCTGCTCTTATGTTGTAAAGAGCGGCGTAAACTGTTGGCGCTATATAAACTTTGTATAATATTATTAATTTAAGGAGGCTATGTGATAATAAAATTGCTTCATGTGATCACTAGCCTTAAATAAAAAAGTTTTTTTGGCATGGTCATTCATACTTTCAATATCATTGCCAAAATATCACAATTTCTGCCAGGGGATGCAAACTTTTGAGCCGAACTGTATATGGAAAGATCTGAATCAAACGTTCACCTTAAGGATTGGTACATACAGGCTAAAGAGAAGGAAGACATGCTTTTGCCAGCAAAGAGCCCTTCCAAAACACTTGGTCCCAGATGGTGTAGTAGGAATGGTGTCTGCGGACATAACTGGCTTATGGCTGAGTTGGAAAAAAAGAAAAAGAAAAAAGAAAAAAAAGGAAAAAAGGAAGAATCGCTATCCGGTCTCCCCGGACCCTGCATTCCCTATATCTGGTCTCCCACAGTACACATAACATGGAAATGCAATTATTTTAGTAAATATAAACTGCTAAATACCTTTTCTCATCAGCAGTATATAGCAGTCTTGTGACTTCTATCAGTGTCCAACAGAGCACTGGTTAAAGCTTGTAGGAGGAGTTTTCATTCCCCTCTGACTGCCCTATGAGGCTGTATGACCCCTGACCCTCTGTCCAGACAGTGCTGATTGGCCCTGTGCACCCTCAAAAAAAAAAACAAAAAAACAAAAAAAAAAACACATCTCTAGAAATACACACCTGCCGCTACTGCTCTGCACTGTTGCAGATGGATTTGGGACAGTAGAAGAAGGGGAGAATCAGAAAAGACAGGATCAAACAGCCTTTTCACACAATGCGAAGGATTAACCCCTTAGGTTCCACAGTGAGTATAACAAGCATGCTTTACTGCATCTACAGACTAATTGTACTGTTGTGGGTTTAGTAACACTTTACAATTATACTTATTTTGAATGGCCAGAACGCAGGTCTTCTGAGCTCCGGGTAGTCATCACCATAGGACCATAATTAGGAGTACCACTCGGTACAGCGTTCAACCCCGTCCAGCCTTAGCCTGTCCTAGACTTTGACAAGCTGCAGGCCTGGGCACTACACTTGTCCCTCTGGGAAGGAGGAAGGCACAGCAGCAAAATGCCCCGTGTGCAAGGGGCCCAAGAAGTCTTCACTATGGTAATTGAAAGTAATAAAAAAGAATTGTGAAAAACATGGATGAACGTCAGTGTGGTCAGAAGAGGAATACAAAGCAGATACGCTTACACCTGAACGGCATTGAGTCCTGTCATGTACATCTTCAGCAGGCGGTCCTTCCAGTAGACGGGTGGCACTCGGAAGTAGTGGATGCTCCCAGAAATGTAACGGAAGCACTTCCCATCTTTCAGGAAGCAGTCTCTTGACATAGTCAATGTTGAAGGACGGGTCACCTCCGACGACCTGAAAACAAAAGTCAGAATTTTTAGTGTAGAGAAAACAAAAAAAACAAAACAAACAAAACAAACCCAAAAAAAAAAAAAAAAAAGACACGGGCCCGGGATCTTATCACCACACAGGTGTCACAGCTATCATGGCAAAACAATAACCACACGGTGCAGCTTTCATAGTTAAAAAAAAAACCCCAAAAAACACAACTTCCTCAAATGATGGGCTATTTATAAACTATATGGTTGGAAGGAAATGCATTTTATGTCACAAATATATGTATATGTATATATATTATATATATATATATATATATACACACATACATACACACACACACACACACACACACACAACACACACACACACACAGTGGGGATCGAAAGTTTGGGCACCCCAGCTAAAAATTTGTATTAATGTGCATAAAGAAGCCAAGGACAGATGGGAAAAATCTCCAAAAGGCATCAAATTACAGATTAGACATTCTTATAGGTCAACAAAAGTTAGATTTTATTTCCATCATTTACACTTTCAAAATAACAGAAAACAAAAAAATGGCGTCTGCAAATGTTTGGGCACCCTGCAGAATTTATAGCATGCACTGCCCCCTTTGCAAAGCTGAGACCTGCCAGTGTCATGGATTGTTCTCAATCATCGTCTGGGAAGACCAGGTGATGTCAATCTCAAAGGTTTTAAATGCCCAGACTCATCTGACCTTGCCCCAACAATCAGCACCATGGGTTCTTCTAAGCAGTTGTCTAGAAAACTGAAACTGAAAATAGTTGACGCTCACAAAGCTGGAGAAGGCTATAAGAAGATAGCAAAGCGTCTTCAGATGACAGTATCCTCTGTTCGGAATGTAATTAAAAATGGCAGTCATCAGGAACAGTGGAAGTTAAAGCAACATCTGGAAGACCAAGAAAAATATCAGACAGAACAGCTCGCAGGATTGTGAGAAAAACAATTCAAAACCCACGTTTGACTGCACGATTCCTCCAGAAAGATCTGGCAGACACTGGAGTTGTGGTACACTATTCCACTATAAAGAGATACTTGTACAAATATGGTCTTCATGGAAGAGTCATCAGAAGAAAACCTCTTCTACGTCCTCACCACAAAAATCATCGTTTGAACTTTGCAAATGAACATATGGACAAGCTGATGCATTTTGGAAACAAGTTCTGTGGACCGATGAGGTTAAAATTGAACTTTTTGGCCGGAATGAGCAAAGGTACGTTTGGAGAAGAAGGGGCACAGAATTTAATGAAAAGAACCTCTGTCCAACTGTTAAGCATGGGGTTGGATCAATCATGCTTTGGGGTTGGGTTGCAGCCAGTGGCACAGGGAACATATCACAAGTAGAAGGAAAAATGGATTCAATAAAATTTCAGCAAATTTTGGATGTTAACTTGATGCCATCTGTGAAAAAGCTGAAGTTAAAGAGAGGATGGCTTCTACAAATGGATAATGATCCTAAACACACCTCAAAATCCACGGGGATTACATCAAGAGGCGTAAACTGAAGGTTTTGCCATGGCCTTCACAATCTCCTGACCTCAACATAATTGAAAATCTATGGATAGACCTTAAAAGAGCAGTGCGTGACAGACAGCCCAGAAATCTCAAAGAACTGGAAGACTTTTGTAAGGAAGAATGGGCAAAGATACCTCAAACAAGAATTGAAAGACTCTTGGCTGGCTACAAAAAGCGTTTAAAAGCTGTGATACTTGCCAAAGGGGGCAGTACAAGATATTAACTCTGCAGGGTGCCCAAACTTTTGCAGACGCCATTTTTTTGTTTTCTGTTATTTTGAAAGTGTAAATGATGGAAATAAAATCTAACTTTTGTTGACATATTATAAGAATGTCTAATCTGTAATTTGATGCCTTTTGGAGATTTTTCCATCTTTCCTTGGCTTCTTTATGCACATTAATACAAATTTTTAGCTGGGGTGCCCAAACTTTCGATCCCCACTGTATGTGTGTGTGTATATATATATATATATATATATATATACACACACACATACACACTATATATATATATATTATATATATATATATACACACACACACACACACACACACACACACACACACACACACACACATATATATATACACACACACACACACACACACACACACACACACACACACACTTTATTAGGTGCACCGGTTCAATTGCTTGATAACACAAATTACTAGTCAGCCAATCACATGGCAGTAACTCATATCATTTAGGCATCTAGACGTGGTGAAGACGACTTGCTGAAGTTCAATCTGAGCATCAGAATGGGAAAGAAAGGATATTTAAGTGACTTTGACCGTGGCATGGTTGTTGGAGCCAGACAGGCTGGTCTGAGTATTTCATAAACTGCTGATCTACTGGGATTTTCACGCACAACCATCTCTAGGGTTTACAGAGAATGGTCCGAAAAAGAGAAAATACCCAGTGAGTGGTAGTTGTGTGGACTAAAATACCTTGTTGATGTCAGAGGTTGGAGGGAGAATGGGCAGATTGCTTCGGGATGATAGAAAGGCAACAGTAACTCAAATAACCACTCGTTACAGCCAAGGTATGCAGAATCCCATCTCTGAAAACACAACATGTGGAACCTTGAAGCAGATGGGCTACAGCAGCAGAAGACCACACTGGGTGCCACTCCTGTCAGCTAAGAACAGGAAATGGAGGCTACACTTCGCATCGGCTCCCCAAGATTGGACAAACTTTACCTGGTCTGATGAGTCTCAATTTCAGCTGAGACATTCAGATGGTAGGGTCAAAAATTGGCATAAACAACATTGACAACTTGCTGAAGTTCAAACCGAGCATCAGAATTGGGAAGAAAGGGGATTTAAGTGACTTCGAACATGGCATGGTTGTTGGTGCCAGGCGGGCTGGTCTGAGTATTTTAAAAACTGCTGATCTACTGGGATTTTCACGCACAACCATCTCTAGGATTTACAGAGAATGGTCCAAAAAAGAGAAAATATCCAGTGAGCGGCAGTTGTGTGGAGGAATATTCCTCGTTGATGTCAGAGGTCAGAGGAGAATGGGCAGACTGGTTGCTGCGATTCAGATGGTAGGGTCAGAATTTGGTGTAAACATGAAAGCATGGATCCATCCTGCCTTGTGTCACCGGTCCACACTGGTGGTGTCATGGTGTGGGGGAGATTTTCTTGGCACTTTCAATGTGCACCTAATAAAGAGGCCGGTGAGTGTATATAACCTCTTTTAAAGGCAAATTTGTCTTTATTATGTTTTCAACAGTTTAACAATACATGGCATGGAGGAAAAATGAAAACAGGTACAAGTAGACATACATAAGAAAAGCCATCGCACAAATGTGACAATGATCATGTGAATAGGTGAAAAATAGTTCCATAAAAAAAGAAAAAAAAAAATGTAAGGATCAATAACATAACGGCATGTATTACGGAGATATGAATAGATATAATGTCGAGGACGGCATCCACCACGAGAGGTAGGAGACAAAATGAGCTAGTTCTGTATAAACCAGAATGTGTATCTGAATCCAAACGGAAACAAAACAAGAACAAAACAAACACAAAAAAAAAAAAAAGGGGGGGGGAGGGGGGGGGTGATAAAATGGAGGAGAGAAAAAAGGAGAAGTCAGCTGGAGACATAAAGAAAGATAAGCAGAGGGGGATCAGAAGATATAACCTCTTTTAATGTAAAATGATGCAAGTTCAAATGCAGCTGCAAGGAAGTATATATGAAATAAAACCTAAAGTGGTTGTAAAGCCTTTCATATACCCAGTGAAGTGACTGGCCTCAGGTGATGCACAGAAATGAGACAAATCCTCCCATAAGTTGTACCTGTTTATCTGTAGTCTTCTCTTCTCTACATCCATTAAAAGTGCTGACTTTATAAAGCTTGTAGAACTGTCAAAACCGGGGGGAGGAGAGCTGATGTCACACTATGCAGAGCTCAGTGAGGAAAGCTCTGAGAGCTGATGGAAGGGAATAGAAGGTAACAGAAGGGAAGGGACTAGAAGGTAATGGAAAAGGAAGGGGAAAAGGAAAGGGGAAGGGGAAAAGGAAAGGGGAAGGGGAAAAGGAAAGGGGAAGGGGAAAAGGAAAGGGGAAGGGGAAAGGAAGGGGAAAGGGGAAGGGAAAGGAAGGGGAAGGGGAAGGGAAAGGGAAAGGGAAGGGGAAGGGGAAGGGAAAGGGAAGGGGAAGGGGAAGGGAAGGGGAAGGGGAAGGGAAAGGGAAGGGGAAGGGGAAAGGAAGGGGAAAGGAAGGGGAAAGGAAGGGGAAAGGAAGGGGAAGGGGAAAGGAAGGGGAAAGGAAGGGGAAAGGAAGGGGAAAGGAAGGGGAAAGGAAGGGGAAAGGAAGGGGAAAAAGGGGAAAGGAAGGGGAAAGGAAGGGGAAAGGAAGGGGAAAGGAAGGGGAAAGGAAACCACCCCCCCTCCCCAAATACACAGCTCACAGGCACAGAGCCAAGGCTGTCAATCTGCTAGATGTCCCTCCCCTGTCACCAATTTTCTCTAGGTGTCAGGAAAACTTGTCAGAAGTGATTCATACAGATATCAGGGGAACAAGGCAGCAGACAGAAATGACATTTAGTGGTCTGGATTGAGACAAGTACACACTATAGAGGGATAGGCTTTTTTTATATTTAAATTCTGAGGTTTAACCTCTTTTTGGCCATGTGAAACACACAGTATGTGCAGCGGCAAGAAAGGTTGGCTTTAATGACCATTCGCTGCACATATATGTCCACAGCGGCATGAGGCTTCTGTGCTGAGAGCACCCCGATGGAGGTGATGGTGTGAACCTCCTGCGCTCCCAAGTGTATTTGAAACTAAAAAATAATAAATAAAATAAATAAGTGTATAAATCCCAAAGGGAGCTGCTAGCATTAAATCATATACCAGTGATTACGTGAGATAAAAAGGAATAAGGAATGCAGCGCTACATTCAAATCATAAAAATATGTGAATGTGGGATCCCAAAATATCAAATAAGTTAAATTAGATAAATTGTGGCGGTGTTAACAATACATATCAATAAGTGCTCGTTAATAATATCATCAACACAAATAAAGTGAATAGCTCAAAACATGTGAAAAGACATGAAAAAACCATATCCATATATATATGCATAAAACAAATTACACATATATATGATGTAATCACACGTGCCTGTTGTGAAGTGACATAACCATAATAATGGTACAAACGAAAATATATCTCAAAGTCCAAAAAATATATTATTGGTGACAAAACAGTAAACGGTGCTTCCAAATAATACTGTTAGTGACCATAGGTGAAACTCGTGCAGATTTCTGGGTGTGTACAAATCTGAGAATCCAACCACCATCTGGATTAGCCTCTCACCTCATCCCTTCGACCCTTGCGGATCAAAGAGCAGTAGTGGATCCCTCTCACGGATCCTCCAAGCACCAAAACACTCCAAAGGCACTTTTCTCAGAATATAGTATTCCCACTCTGGCTCTTCTCCAGGAAAAGTTGTAGTATCAATCTCTCAAATGAGACAAAGGAATCCTCCCATAGTGTAGTATATTTAATTATACCATAGGAACAGATAACATTTTTGCATTAGAACTTACGTAGCAGCCAGTCCAAGAAAAACCTCATGCTTTCAGATGAGGATATATCTGTTTGGGTGTACAGCTGGATGCACAGGTGTACCAAGATGGCCGCCACGCCGGAAATACGTCACCACATCAAGTTGACGCGTTGCGTCACAGTGTCATGTGACTTCATCACAGCTCACAGTGTGCAGTGAAATCAGAGCAGGGGCGGACTAACCATTTGGAAACTCGGGCATTTTTAATCATGTCCCTGTACAGTATTTATACCTTTAAAGTGCACTTTATAAAGAGTTCTGAACAGATAAAATACTTTTTTAAAAACTTTTTTCTGACCTCCAGAACGGATTAATTGGTTTTCAATGGGAAACTGCGTTTCTGTTTACAAATTTTTCTGGCTCTGCACCCTCTGGCTGGTGCACCCTTTAATGCTTGTGGTAGGTACAGAGGCGGAGTGACCATTTGGAAACTTGGGCACTGCCTGAGGACCTTGGGTCAGTAGGGGGCCCCATGAGATGCCCCTGGTACCTTTTTCATAGTCTTTTTTGAGTTTGGGCAAGGACACAGGGGCCCCATGATCCCCTATTGCCCAGGGGGCCCCATGAGTTGTCAGTCCGCCCCTGAATCAGAGGTAGACATTTCAGACTGGTGGAGGAGAAGGTACAATTGTGCCAGACTGAAGGTCACCTTCCCTTGTTTAATATATAACCACCCAGCGTTCATTTTTGGATTTAATACTGAAAAACAAGATTGGGAAATCCTCATTGTATTCCGTTATAAATTGCCCTCAAGGTGTCAGACAACTGCTGAACCAAAAACACAAGAACTTTTTTTTTTTTTTTTTTTTTTTTTTTAAAGTTCAGTTTTCAGTCACAAAAATGAATCATGAACACAGGTGACCTCTGACAATCTCACATTGCAGCACCCTGTAAGGCTGGGTCTCTACATACCTGCTCACATAGACAGGCAGCCAGCAGCAGGCAGAGGACAGCGGCTCCCATGGGTGCTCCCCGCAGATCTCCCCTAATTCATCTCCTCTGTCCTGCCTCTGATGCTTCCTTTTACTTTCCTGGAACACACAATCATGTGACCCTCCCGTCTTCGGCCTGCGGGGTCCTAAATCCTGTCTGTGCAGGAGGAGACGCAGACCTGAGGTCCTACAGATAGAAGAGGGAGAGAATGAAGAGAAGCACATGGAGACCCCAGCAGGAGACACAAACCTGCTGAGCTACAGGGTTTCCCATCATGTGGCCGACTAGGGCTAGTCACATGACATTACCTATTAAAACTAAGAATGGCCACACATGTTCTCTTCTAGCTGGTGACAGCAAAGCGGCAAAGAAAACCTGTGATCACCGAAGTCCAAAAAAGTAAAAAAAAAAAAAAAAGACAATAATAATAAAAAAAAAGGTAAAAAAAAACCAATAATAATAAAAAAAGTAAAAAAATAATAATAAAAAAGTATAAATGTTAAAAAAAATAATAAAAAAGTTAAAATGTTAAAAAAAAAAAAAATCATATATATATATATATATATATATATATATATATATATATATAAAAAATAAAAATATAGTGGCAGGTGCAATGGACCACTTGGTCTTTTTTTTTTTTTTTGATGAGACTTTACCTTCCTGGAATAAAGACCGCTCACTGCTGCCCTCTCTCCTTGTGCAGGGTGACTGGTCTTGTCTCCACCCCCTCCTGAGATTTTATGCAGTGGGCAGGGGCAGACTGACAACTCATGGGGCCCCCGGGCAAAAAGGGATCATGGGGCCCCTGTGTCCTCGCCCACACCCAAAAAAGCCTATGAAAAAACCAATGAAAGTTACCAGGGGCATCTCATGGGGCCCCCTACTGACCCTGGGCCCTCGTGTAATTTTATGTAGTGGGTAGGGCCTGCTGGGCCCCTCCCACAGCTCTGATCTCTACACAGGATTCGTACAGCACAGTGATGATGTCACAGCTCCTTTTACAATGTAATATCTGGGTTTTCAAAGGCATTTGATGGACACAAAGTGGATTTATATTCTTTGTGGTTATTAAGGAATACATTTAATTTAACTGCTTCTGCAGAACTACAGGGCAGCAGGGCTGTGCAAAATCACATACAGGCGTACCTCAGTTTACAAATTTAATGCGTTCTGTGGGACTTTTTGTATCGCGAAAAATTTGTAAACCGAAATGCAGTTTCCCATAAGAATCCATTGAAAACCAATTCATCCGTTCCGGAGGTCAGAAAAAAGTTTTAAAAAAAAGTCTTTTATTTGTTCAAATCTCTTTCTAAAGTGCACTTTAAAGGCATAAATACTGTACAGGGACATGATTAAACATTAATTTGTAAATGCACTGAAAACCAATGAATCCGTTCGTATTGCAAAAAAATTTGTAAACCGAGGCATTATTTTCAATGGATTTTTATTTGTAAACTGAAAATGACATTAACCGAGGCACGCCTGTACTTATATAGCGCCATCAATTTACGCAGCGCTTTACATATATATTGGAGTACGTGCGCACCTGTGTCTGCGCGTGCTCGCACCATCACGTGATTGGTGAGCAGGAAGTTTGGGAGGGGGTTGGAGGATGTCCTCTTAGCTGTAGAAATGATACAGAGTTTGGTAGCAAACGGTGACAGGAAATATGGTGAGCTCCCCCTGGTGACCACTGTACCACACTGAAGAGGCTGCACCCGTGTCCTTAAAGGGGACCTCCGGTTTATTATATCTTGATGACATCTGCTTATCCTGTGTCGATCCTGTTCCTATGCTGAGAGGGACCCATTGGCAGACCTCCACTATACCATACACTGCGCATTACCATTGCGCGTCCGGTGAGTGCGCATTTTACCCATCACCTTGCCTCTCACCTATCTCTTTGAGGAAACATGTGAAGTCACATTGAGCTCCATTGTTTTAGAACTTTTTTCATGCATATATGATTTATACAGAGTCATTGAAGAACTCTTCATATCTTTATGTGTTTAGCGCTGCACTTACCCTGATTATATGTGTTATTTGGAAGGTTTTATGGTTCCCTTTTACTGTGCATAGTCGCTTATTTGTATGGAGCGCTCGCTGAGTTACTTTTTCTATATATATTGTACATTCACATCAGTCCCTAACCCTCAAGGGGCGTACAATCTAAGGTCCCTAACTCACATTCATACATACACATACTAGGGACAATTTAGACAGGAGCCAATTCACCTACCAGCATGTCTTTGGAGAGTGGGGAGGAAAACGGAGTACCCGGAGGAAACCCACGCAGGCACAGGGAGAACATGCAAACTCCAGGCAGGTGGTACCGTGGCTGGGATTCGAAGCAACGACCTGAGTACTGCCAGGCGGAAGTGCTAACCATTTAGCCACTGTGCTGCCCTTTTGGGAATCCCTTTGCATGGGACAAATGCGCTACAGTTCTCTGACAGGTCCTGCGCAATCAACATCTTTCTTACCTAGACAAGCACAAAAAGCATCAGAGACAGTAAAAGAAAAAATCCAAATATAATTGTGGAAGAGGGAGGGGGGAGGAGCCAAGTTTAAAAAAGTTGCTTTATTGGGTAAAAGTCTGCTTTATTTATTTCAGGAACTTATATAGCGCATACATATATATTGTACATTCACATCAGTCCCTAACCCTCAAGGGGCGTACAATCTAAGGTCCCTAACTCACATTCATACATACACATACTAGGGACAATTTAGACAGGATCCAATTCACCTACCAGCATGTCTTTGGAGTGTGAGAGGAAACCAGAGCACCTGGAGGAAACCCACACAGGCACAGGGAGAACATGCAAACTCCAGGCAGTTAGTGCTGTGTTTGGGAGTCGAACCAACAACCCTAGTACTGCTAACCACTTAGCTACAGGTCTCTTCCCAATTTTCAGACTGCAATATAGATGAGAGGCATGGGCTGATCTGTGTCAGACATTTGTGAACACAGCCTAGAACTAAACAGACACCAAGAATTACAAGTTTTCAGGTCTCTCCTCCAGTGATCAGACTGCAACACTGTAACTTTGCAGGAGGTGCCATAGTTGGGATTTGAACCAATGACCCTAGTGCTGCCAGGCAGACGTGCTAACCATTTAGTCACTGTGCTGCTGTCACTCTTCTATGTTTCCATCTTGTTCTTTAAATCTCTTTCTTTCAGTATATAGACCGGAATACAGTTTGCTTAACCCCTTTATTGCCAAAGCCATTTTTGCCTTTCTTTTTTTTTTCACACAAAAATCATTTTAGGTCTGAAGATTACTTAAAGAAGAACTTCAGGCAATTTATTATTTTTTCCATGCAGTAAGGCTGTGCCTGCACTGCATGGGTTAACTGCTCTTTTTTTTCTAGGGCAGTGGTCTCCAAACTGCAGTCCGGGGGCCAGATGCGGCCCTTTGCTTGCTTTTATCCAGCCCTTGGGGCACTATTTTCATCCACTGATACCAACAATCGGGCATAATCCCACCCACATCCCCTCACTGACACCAAAGAAAGGGCAGAATTCCTCCCACTGACACCAAAGAAGAGGCAGAATTCCTCCCACAGACACCAAAGAAGGGGCACAATTCCTCCCAATGACTCCAAAAATGAAGCTCAATGACACCAACAATGGGGCACTATTCCTCCCACTGACTTTTTTTTTCTAGGGCAGTGGTCTCCAAACTGCAGCCCAGGGGCCAGATGCAGCCCTTTGCTTGCTTTTATCCAGCCTTTGGGGCACTATTTTCATCCACTGATACCAACAATCGGGCATAATCCCACCCACATCCTCTCACTGACACCAAAGAAAGGGCAGAATTCCTCCCACTGACACCATAGAAGGGGCAGAATTCCTCCCACTGACACCAAAGAAGGGGCAGAATTCCTTCCACTGACAACAAAGAAGGGGCAGAATTCCTTCCACTGACAACAAAGAAGGGGCAGAATTCCTCCTACTGACACCAAAGAAGGGGCAGAATTCCTTCCACTGACACCATAGAAGGGGCAGAATTCCTCCCACTGACACCAAAGAAGGGGCAGAATTCCTTCCACTGACAACAAAGAAGGGGCAGAATTCCTTCCACTGACACCAAAGAAGGGGCAGAATTCCTTCCACTGACAACAAAGAAGGGGCAGAATTCCTTCCACTGACAACAAAGAAGGGGCAGAATTCCTCCTACTGACACCAAAGAAGGGGCAGAATTCCTCCCACTGACACCAAAGAAGGGGCAGAATTCCTCCCACTGACACCAAAAGAAGGGGCAGAATTCCTCCCACTGACACCTAAGAAGGGGCAGAATTCCTCCCAATGACTCCAAAGATGGGGCATTATTTATTCCCACTAACATCGGGGAGGCATTATGTCATCTCCTCACCACCTGACTTAATCCCCCCTGCGCTCACTGGAGCACTGGGCTGTGGACAGGGCCATGGATAAGGGGGTACCCCCAGTCCTCCAGTATGGGGCCCAGGTCAGCAGGGGGGCTCAGGCAGTGGGGTGAATCGGATGTGGGCATAGAGGGTGATGGGTGTGGCAGGGGGGCTATTGCTGAAACCGATCTCTCTGCAGAAGCTGGAAGTTGGCTTCTCCTCCTTTCCCTCCCGCTGGCTTTTATCTGCTGCAGAGAAAGCCATACAGGGGCTGATTATCCGTTACCGACCCGGCTTGACCCTGACCTGCTTTGGCTCTCTTCCTGGCTCACCACCCCGGCTTGATCCTGACCTTTTCTCCTACCTGACTTCATTTCCTGCTCTACCAATCTACCTGGATCCACGTGTCCTCTGGAGGACCTCCTCCTGCATCTGGTCCACCCATGGGTACTGTCTCACCAGGCATCACCAAGCATCCATACCATTGGCAATCCGTGCTTCTTTGGGCATTGCACCTTCTGTTACCACCTTCAGGGGTGCACTGCACTCTCTCCATATCAGCCTCCGGTCAGGTATGTGACATTGTGTCTCTGAGGAGCTGATTGTTTCTCGGGACATGTTTCTGGTGGTGTCTCTGAGGAGATGATTGTATC